ATAGAAGCCCAATGGGCTTAATCTCTAACTGAAGCCCCCTCTTTAGTTTGCCCTATGGGCTTTTTTTCATACACTGTACATGAATTTCAAAGAAACAAAATAAATGAAAAAACATGCTTGGTTTATACAGTAGTTTTGGTGATTCAACACTCCATGATACAGATTGATGTTACAGTGGCTCTATTTATTTTTTTGTCCCAAAAATATACAGCATTCATTTTGAAAAATAGCCTTGAAAAAAGAAGCCCATCCAAAATTCGCAAAAAAAGGGAAGAAGCCCAGGGCTTCAATTCAAGTTTACAGTATTCCACAGTGTAGAAGTATTTTTTTAAAGATTTCTACACATTTCAGTAAAGTACAATATTTAATGTGTCTTGAGACAATTTCTGTCTATTATGCATCATGATGCTATCCTATAATAATATTAAATTACATTGATTGACAACCGCAATGATTGACAACATGGAACATATGACAAATCAAGTAACAAGAAACGGCTGCCGCCCCTTAAATCCTATAGATTATAAACTCATCATTTTTATGTGAGATCTCGAAATGGATTAGTGATATTTGAGTTGCGCCTCTTTTACAAATTTAATTTGAATGACAGTTCATGATCATAAACACATCAATTGTATGACTATTATACATAATTAAGCTCCCTCCCCATAAACAAACTCCTTCCTTTTTGAATTTCCTCCTTTATATTTTATTCTTTATTTTTTTTTCATCAAGCAATCCTTTAAAATCTCATTTAATTTGCCCATTTGGTTTGCTTTTCTGTTTCTTGTATGTATGTAATTTATATATAGAATACTACAGTGTTACGTCACAATACCATGTGATACTACTCCGTTGTTATCGGCGACACAAAATGCGTTTAACCGATGCCATTTTCTCCACTCACAAACCATTGATTCCAATTTCTAACGTGATTATTAAGAAGTTGTATCTTAATTTTCTTTGTAAATGTTAATTGATGATTAAATGTGTGTTCAATAACTAATATACTGTGAGCTTTTTGTGTTTTTAGGTACATTTTGAAGGTAAACTATTATGTTTTAAAATTCCTATTCCAGAAAGCCTATTCTAAACCATTAAGATTTATGAAGTCATTCAGGCGTAATGAATGGCAACCAATGTCCAGAGGGCGCTACCTGGTGTTGTGACGACACGACTTTGGTACTCTATACATTTTTCTTTTAATTTTGATTTTGTACTTTAATGTAGTTAAAGATCATACATGGGACCTCAGGGAAGAACAGTGTACAATACTGACTGAGTACTCACAATAAAGAAAGATTTCTATCTAAAAAACAAACCCACAAAATCCTCCAAAAATTAAATCATTTTCATAAAGTGCGTATAAAATATCTGCAGTGTGAGGCCTATAACCAAGAGCCATGGGGTTAGGCCTGTGTCTGCGGGTATTTCAGCCTAATTTTGAAGTCATTGATGATATAAAATCAGCCATACTCCACTTTGTACTTTTTAAATACTAAGCAGGGCCAGTGAATGACAAAAAAATAATAGAAAAAAGGGGTGTCATCTACCTCATCTTAAACCCAAACTAGAAACTAGATATTTTTTAATTTACTGTATTCAGTCGAATGGTAGCCCCAGAAATTTGCTGACAATGAGGGTACAGTATGTCTGATATATAAGTCCATACCAAGAAGCCATATTGGGCCTCCAGTAGGGGTCCTGAAGTGAACCTCTGGTGAGGTGAAAAGAAGATATTCCATTGATGGGTAAAAGTTGTGGTTCTACACCTCAATATTAGGCACTGTATTCATAATAACTTTGGCTGGATTGGAAAATTAATATTTTAGCCTGACGACCTCAAGTGGCGTAGGCTCACAGGGGAACCATTGTCCATTGAGAGTGACATTTCCACATTTGGCCCCCACTGGCACCACAAATAAGAATGTTTTGTCTCAAAAATCAGGTATAATTAGTCAAAATTTTACTTAGTGACATCTAACACAGAACAAAATAAATTTGTTTAGGGCTACTTTATCTAGGAGTACTAAAATTCAGTGGCAGACCGTAGGGTAAAACGTAGGGTATGCTCGGGGCGCTAATGGGAAAAGTTCCATCCATTAGCGTACACAGTCTGCATTCTAAAAAGTTAAAATAAAAATACCGTATTTATTAGAATAAACGCCCCAACCAGAGACACTTTTGGAACAAATGCCACACGTCAACCCACCACCCCAAATAATTGTAAACAAAACTAATGCAAACAACATCATTCTCAAATGCAGATCATACCTTACTTATCCTTGATGAAATAAGGGATGATGGGGATGCGAATGTGGAGTGGATAAGGTGATATGAGTTGACTTTGAACTGAGCGTAATTTTTTTGCAATTGGGCGCGACTATGGAAAAAGTTTTTTTTTTGGTGGTGTGTGCACAACCTGCACGCCTCCTAGATATATGCCTCTGTGCCCGAGTCCCTCCAATAATAATAATTTCAAGTAAATGATATATAATTAGATTTGAAATTATTACTCATGCACTCTTTAACGTCTAAATTCTGCATTCAGTAGACAAGTTAGTTTTTCTAAAATGATTTTAATGAATCAGCATAATTTAATGCCAACGGATATCTGACGAGATTAAATGTTATTATTGGCTGGCATATACTCTGAACCATTAAACCCCTGCCACTGTTAGACTGACTTCTGTCCCCAGAGTAAGTCCAGCGCACATCTTTTTGACTCATGTTTGGACTACTGGGGAATCTTCTCTTTATTCTTTTGGCAGATATAAATGAAAATCTATCAGGAGCTTTATATTACTGAGCTACACTCAGTGAATTCCCAAGTGTTCAGCAAAGCCAGGCCTAGCTAAGTGGATCTTTCAAGAAGATCTGAGAGAGGCACACAGCACCAATCAATTCAGATTGTCATCAAACGATTCACATCACTGAACACAACCTCAGCCTGTCACTCCCTTCTCAATATTATGTCAAAGGTTAACACTTGACTTCCATTCATACATAACCATACTGTAAAGTTTTCTACTTGTGCAGTTGATACCTCAAAAACCAGCTTAAATTTGCGTGGAACGCATTGTTTATATTAAAAAATATACTGTAGATCAAAGCCTGATTATCAGAAAAATCTGTGTGGAATTTGCCGCTTATTTTTCGAAAATGTGCATTCTAGGCTAAAAAATGTGATTTATAGGCCACATTTTTTGCACGGATGATACCTCAAAAACCATGCTCAAATTTGAGCAGAAAATCGCAAGGAAAATTGGTGAGCAGAATCGTAATTACTGCATAATACTTTGTTTACTGTATATTTAAGATTACAGGTAAAAGTCCCAATCTCGGCAAAAATCTGCGCGGAAATCAGAACTTATTTTCCAAAAATGCGCGAAAGGATTTCTATGCTAATTTTTGCACGGCGGATATAGTCCCTGTGCAAGCCTTACTTTACATACGAGTATGCATTAACTTACTATGACAATGTGGTAACATAGATGTTACCACATTGTGGTAACATAGATGTAGCTTTTTATAACAAAAAATATTAATTTGTTTTTTTAAAAGCTCTTCTTCAAAGGTCTATGATATTTTGTTAAATATGCAGTATCATTAAGATATTGGGAGGGGGCAGATGGTGTGATCCTTGAAATGTTTACGAAACAAAGAAAAGAAGAATGTATCAAAATAGAAACACAGCCCTAGGTGGACCAGGCACCACCCTGGATAGACTGATGGGTTTCATACTAACCCAGCACCACCCTGGATAGACTGATTGAGTTTCAAACTAACCCAGCACCACCCTGGATAGACTGATAGTGTTTTAAACTAACCCAGCACTACCCTGGATAGACTGATAGTGTTTCAAACTAACCTAGCACCACCTTGGATAGACTGATAGTGTTTCAAATTAACCCAGCACCACCCTAAATAGACTGATAGTGTTTCAAACTAACCTAGCACCACCCTGGATAGACTTTAGTGTTTCAAACTAACCTAGCACCACCCTGGATAGACTTATAGTGTTTCAAACTAACCTAGCACCACCCTGGATAGATTTATAGTGTTTCAAACTAAACCAACACCACCCTGGATAGACTGTCTTTCAAACTAACCCAGCACCACCCTAGATTGACTGATTGGGTTTCAAACTAACCCAACACCTCCTTGGATAGACTGATGGTGTTTCAAACTAACCCAACACCTCCCTGGATAGACTGATGGTGTTTCAAACGAAGCCCAGCACCACCATGGAATGGGGTTTGTGATGGGGTTTCAAACTATAACCCAACACCTCCCTGAATAGACTGATCGTGTTTCAAACTAACCCAACACCTCCCTGGATAGACTGATGGTGTTTCAAACAAACCCAACACCTCCCTGGAATAGGGTTTGTGATAGGGTTTCAAACTATAACCCAACACCTCTCTGGATAGACTGATGGTGTTTCAAACTAAACCCAGCACCACCCAGGAATGGGGTTTGTGATGGGGTTTCAAACTATAACCCAACACCTCCCTGGATAGACTGATGGGGTTTGTGATGGGGTTTCAAACTAACCAAACACCTCCTTGGATACATTGATGGGGTTCCAAAATTACCAACACTACCCTGGATAGACTGATAGTTCACCTAACCCAGCATCACCTTGAATAGACTGATGGTGACTTTAGTAGTAGACCAAGAATAGCTGATAGGTTCTAACAAAGCTTTCCAAAATCTAATTATTTGGCACCCTCTACATCTTGTGATTTTTTTAGCTGACAAAACCCATCAAATATTATGTGTTATTGAACCAGACCACATACCTTAAATATGAGGTTTAGTGTGTCATTGTCCTTTTCCAACTTCAGAAAAGCAACACAAATTTGAAGAGCTTGTCAACTTGAGATAATTCTAGAGCTCAACTTTTCAACGATCAAACCAATTCACTTGACAACTTTTCATTCTTGTTTTCCAAGTAATAAGACAAACAATTTTTGAGTTAAAGTGACTAAACATTTTATTTTTTGCTGATGATATAATAGTCTGACATTTTATGGGAACAAAAAGGGCAGAATATTATATAATATGGTACAACTATTGAGTTGTACTGTTGTAGCTTCATAGAAGATGCTTGCATTCCAATTTTAGGGCCAAGGGTCAAATTCTTTGAAATGCCATTGGGAGCTTTCGATTTACAATGACTTAGAATGTAAAACATGAAATCGGGAATGGTCATCAGCTGAAATATGTTCAGGCCAGAACAATTTGGCCATTGGCCATGAGTTGTAATTGTTTCTTACATGACGTTGTTTTTGAATAAAATTAAAAGTAAAAAAATACTGTATTAAACATTGGTGCATCAGTCTTTGAGTTTGTAGCATTGTGTTTGTGATACCTCTAAGTACGCTCCGTAAAAAACAAAACAAAAAAAACCCACCAAAATATAGAACAAGAACACACATGATGGTTAACTAAATTCGTTCTGCATTCTTGTCCTATGTTTTAGCTCTTTCTAACCTGAGCATCATCAAGAGCAACGAGAAAAATTAATAATTAATAGTTCTTAATTCATATTAAAGATTTAGTTAAAGTGTAAAGCAAATGTGTGTTTATTAAGCTTGCCCCTCCAAAGGAGAGATGACAGGTACTGCTATGGTGCGTGTTTGTGTGTCCTTCTGGGCACACAACTCAAAAACTAAGTAACCGGTTTACTTTTCAAATTTCCCCATGTTGACATTGTTACATTTATCTCAATCATCTTTGAATTCGGTGCTGATTGAAAGTAAAATGCAGATTTTAGAATGTTATTTATATATTTTTCGGCCAAAAAAGACAGAGCCAACTGGAGCCGTCTCAAGCGGATCAACCACGGACCAACTCAACTGTGTGTTAAATTCTAGCCGACAGACTGGAAGCGGTTTGGACAGCGTGCAAACTCGCTTGATGGGTCGCTTCACACAAGGCCTATGAAGTTAGGTCTCGTTTGGCAGATTATCTAGTTTCTCCCTTGTGAAAGGATACCTGTAAGTAGGACAGTGATATAATCACTATTGGCAATCCTTGGTGCATGAGTGCATGCGTCTAAAGAACTAACATAAATTTTTCGCCATTGTTTTCACTGTTTTGACATTGTTTCGACTTACAAATCTAATGCTTATAAAGGACTACATCAAAGATACGTTTTGACCAAAGTAACATGAGCATAGACTAACAACAGGAAGCGTATGTCCACATTTAAACTTTCAGAAACAGAGACAAGAGTTGTCAAACGCATCATGTACATTAACTGTAAGATGAGCAATTAAACATGGTCATTTATAAACAGGTGAACTCAATAGAGACATAACAAACGGAAATTAAACGTTACAAATTATGTATCATAGCTATAAAGGATGACTTTTATTTAATGTATTTTTTAGAAAAGGGGAGCCAAATTGGTGCCTAGATGACCAGTATGGGCTAAGAGCCCAACACTAAATGTGGTTGACCTCTCTGTATAAGGTAAAATGAACATGTATATCATACAGCCTGTTTCTACTAACTAGAAAGAACCGTTCTCTTTAAGAACGGTTTTTTGCAGTAGAAACGGGCCCTAAAAAAAAAGAACCATTCCTTTTTGGCATCCTAAAGGATGGTTCATTTCACGGAATCAATACCGTGCCAGGAACACCAAAAGAACCGTTCTTTGTGGGGTAGTTCATCTGCAATAGCGGACTAATTTAACCTTAAGGCAACCTATCCAGTATTCTAGGCCTAATACAGTATGCTTAGTACTAGTGAAATCGTTGAAAAGGACGTAATTGAGAATAAATTTTCATTAAATTTTGTAAAATAATTCTCATGTCAATTTATTTATTTAATTACTATTTAATAATTTAGGCCTTTTTATGAGTCACCTTTGGATATTCTTCATTAAGTTCTTCAATAATAATTAGAAATGTCAAACGTGTTCCACCAGTTCAGTGATAGACCTATGATATTATAATTTATTTTTAGGAGGAATCAGTAAAACAAAATGTTTAAACTGTTTTTGACACAGTGAAATGTTTTCTTTTGTTAAGTATGAATGAAAGTTATTTTCATCTTATAGACAATGTTACATTTTACCTTACATTAATTTAGTTTCTTGCAACACTATTCAAAGCAGTTTTATGAATAAAAAAATAAAAATATATTTTCAATATTTTTAAGTATAATTCATCAAGAGAAGTATGCTACATAAATTTGATATATTAAAATTATTACTATCTGTTGAAATGTTGGATACCAAAAATACAAAACTGACGGGGTAAAATTAACCCAATTTCCTGTAGAAGTGCAACGCAAAATCACAGCCAAGTCCTATCAATTGACCCATGGACCTGTAGATTACGTTGCAATCTCTGTAATAGGAGAATTCACACAGAAGACAAGGGAATCAAGGGAATCAAGGTTATTAATTATAGTGATCTACAGTGCTATTTTTTATTGGTAAACTACAGTAATCTATCAGTTTTTTTTGAGATGTAGTATGAAACAGGTTGGTTCCAGTTCAAAACCAGTGGCAGATTCAAGAAGAGGGAAAGCCCACCCACCCTCCTCAATTTTTCCAAAATAAAACAAAAAAAAAAAAGGAGAAAAAAAGAAAATTACACTAGCAGTTTGCCACCTTCGCCCATCTAGATGCCATAATCATAAATTTTATTTTAGTCCCAACAATGGTTACGCTGAGGTGGTCTAGACTCTCCATCTGTAAAAGTCTCTTCCTTAGAACCCCTCCCCTCTATTTTAAGTTCTTGGATCTGAAAACTACTGACAAACTTTGTGTATCAAGTTACAAATGCTGTTCAATACACACAATCTGTAACGATATGTACTTTTCTACTATTTTCCGATATTGTGAGGTGTCGCCACTAAATGAGCCTCCCAGCGAAAGCGTGCATCTACTGTTTGACATTGATTTTTTTTGGCTCCTTTTAGCACATCACACTTTTGTTTTGACAATTAACTGAATAACTATACAAGTAAAAAATTGTTGAATTTTTAGTGAGCTTTCTAGGACAGGTCTTATTCAGTAGCTTTCTGCATTGCCAATTCACTTGAATAATTGTACATGTTTATCTTTAGCATATGACCTATCCCATCATTCCTCCACTGGATTTACTCTAAAAAGGTCTATTGCCAGATGATAGCAAAGTGTCTACAGATGATGTATTTCGATATGTCTATGTAAGCTTATTTTACTTTAGTAATTAGAATCAGGCTTGTAGTTTGACTACAACCGAAGTTAAGATCATTTTCAAATTCAGATGTCTCATGAAAACATCTTTAAGAGAAAATTGCCTCTAAAGATAAACATTGAGTGGAGTTGTTAGCTTAGTGGTTAAGATGCTTGCCTTCAAAATCCCAAGGTCCTGGGTCCAAGTCCTGCGCAGCACTTTTTCCCACAATAAAATCAACTCCACTCCCTAGCCTTATAAAGAGATTGCAGATAAATGCATCATCTTATTTCATTAAGAGAGCCCTGAATATCAGCCGACCTTCCAGAAAAATGTGCCTTAAAAACACCTTAGAACATTTGATATCGTCAAATATTTATATTGAACTTATCATAAATATTGTAACCCATTTTTTGTCAAAATTTCACTTCAAATATATTTTCTTGAATATCAAATTGACCTGGCATACAATAACAAGACTCATTTAGACACGACCCCTCACAAGTATCGTTTACGCCAACTTTCAAAAATCAATCAACACACATATCACAATGCCATCCAAGTTCTTGGTATTGTTTACGAGGAACAAACTTCTGAGAATTGACGTTGTATGTCACCACTCCACCTTTAGCCTCTATTTCAGATGCGTTTCCTTCCGTTAAATGTGAAACAAGTTTTTTGCGAGTACAGCACCATTCAAAACAACACATTAATACGCAACTTAACCAATGTTGATGTATCAACAAAGAAACCGCCAATCAGAGTGCATCCCTGATCTCCTTGGGTTTCAGTTGGAGGGGTGAAAATACCGTAATTTTCGATAGCAATTAGCGCACTGCCTTTCAGATGGCCAATGTGCATGTTAAAGGAAACATGTACACTCTTCAAACAAGATTTAGGGATGGGCCATATAACATCATACTATAAACAGTAAGTGTATCATGATGGTATAACAAGTAAGTATAACAAGTGTTTTTGTAATTGCTGAGATTTGTTCACATAAACCCTTATCAGTGGCAAATCTGGGGGGGGGGGGGAAGGGGAGAGGCTTGGGTTGCATTAGGGGCACTTCCACTCTCCCCCAACAGTAGGAAAATATTCACTAAGCCAAGTGTAAAATTATTTAATTGAAAATGGCCAAACTTCAAAGAGTCTTAATAGGTAAGGGAATAAACCTAACATATACACACAATAGAAAATACATTTGGTGTTTTTAATAACACTGGCTGAATAGGTTATCCAGCACTTAATTATTGTTTTTCTCATAATATATTGTGTATTTTTTTTACAATTTTTTTTACACAAAATAAATTAATCTATCTATAGTAACTTGGCTTACGCAAATAATTACCAGATTTAGATTCAACGCTATTGAATTCCCTTTGCCTTGTATTTTCCTGATTATGAAAGGAGTAGACAAGTTTCCTCATTTTTACTAGAAAGATTGAAAAAAAAAAAGCTTTCTTCCTGTGGGGACTAAAGTATGGCACAATACTGTGACAACTGGTTTAATATTTCCAAGGAGGTGTCAAATAGCAGGTTCAACTACAATAAAGCAAATCACATTAACTTGAATCATCAGCCAATTAATGGAAAAATAAAACTGTAATTAATTTTCACTATTAACACATTAAATTTACTAACCCATCATGAAACTTCGTCCAAAGTATATTTTTTCATAATTTCCTTTTTTGTTTTGTTTTGGTTTGTTCTATTATTATTTATCAATAAAGATTAAAATTATATTTAAACTTAATTGTTTTCTAAATCAAAATCCAATATTTTGCTATAATGAGTATTATGTGTATAACTAAATGTGTATAACTAAATTTAAAATCAATTAAAACATAGAATCTTTAAAAGCTGATGCGATTTGTTATAATTGTGGCAAAAAAAGCTAAACCAGTCACTCGTCGCAAAAATCAATTTTTAGTTATTAATACTGGGTTAAGCAGTAAAATGAGAGCTATAAAATGGTAAAAGATTTTACTAAATCAAAATCCAACACTTTGCTATAATGAGTATTATGTGTATAATTTAATTTAAAAACAATTAAAACATAGAATCTTTAAAAGCTGATTGGATTGTTTACATATCATAAATGCTTGTTGTCTACAGGAGTTGTTTCAATTTTCTACAGGAAAAATAATATTTGGATATTAGCAGATATTTTTCTCCTAAAGACGACTGAAGCAACTCAGTAGAAACGTCAGGACATTCTCTACCATTACAGCAGTCCTTCAACTACTGGGATTGTATATGTTTATTTATATATTAATAAAAACTGCCCACCCACATTAGATAGGTCTCCCTCCTATTAAAGACCACTTTAGGGTCTGGGGTTTCCATGGTCTTTGGCAGCTTTGGTAACTAATTAGAATATATAGATAAAGGAAATTTGTTAATTTAGGACCATAGAATAGTGGTCTTCTATTGCAGGGGGCTTTAATTAGAGAGAGACCTTGATTCAGATACATGAAGTTTAATTTAAAGCCTATGTAATTAGTATGGAAGATAATGATGTTGATCTTGTGAAATATCTTTAACAGCCTATCTTGTGCTTATAATGCCTTGTATGCTGGACCTTTATAACAACTGCCACTATCATTGGCTTGACAAATATAATTGACTATGGGCACAATTGCATCCAAATGGTCAGCCTATCGACATGGTGCCAATTAGAGTGAAATTAGCAAAGAAACTGAAGCCTGTTTGTGGTCAGTTTATCAGCTGCGATGACAATGAATTGGTATTAAAGAATTTAACTACCAGGCTGGACATTGTGTTCGTAGCAGGACACTCTGTGATGCTAGTTGGACACTG